AAAAAAAAAAATAAAAATAAATTTATATGCAGATATCGAATTTCCAAATACTGTATGCTTTAGCAATCTTTTCCGCACTCTCTTTATGATTAATTAATTTTAATTCAAATATATTACCTGAGAATATAGTTATTATAGGGCCGGTCAAAGAAAGACATCTTTTCTCGAGCTCTTATAAACGAAAGTGCGGTTCCCGGATATGATCGATGTCCGATTGGTGTACAGATTTTGAAGAGATATTGCTGACCACTAATAATACCCCATTCGTTGGTAGCATGATTGCAAAGCATTCCATTATTTGCAAAGTAGGACTAAAATGAAGATGAGAAATTGCTTAAAGTAAATAGAGAGAAATGCATTTGGATAAGTATAGAGCCAATTAAGTAGAAAATAGTTCATCATTTATTTATTGATTTATCAGTTAAAAGTAAATAAGTAGTGAAAAGTAACGCAACTTATTTAGAACTAAAGATTACAATTATATCGAAATAATTTTAATTGCAAAACATACATAATTTCCGGGATTATTTACAAATTGTGTTATGTACATGTATCCGCTACTGACCGTACTTCGGATAAGTGTCTGTTTATCCCATTTTCGGTTTTCGCTAAGTTCATAAATTTGTGTATCCACTGGAATCAAGAAATTATTTGGAAATCAGAAATGAGTATGAAATGTTTTTGTACCGAGACGAGAATGTTTTCCTGATCATAAATAAATGCAGAAAATACTTTTGTCTATTTGCAGCTGTGCTACAGTTTGAGGTAATTTTAAGTTTAATTAAATTCGAGTTAGAAAAATTAAACGGACAATATTAATTTAAACAAATTTCATTTTTGTTGTCAAACCAACCTATATGACCAAGGAGTTCCTTTTGGCTTAAAGCACGAATATTCGGATTATAGGTGAAGACATCATTAACCGGGGCAAAAACTGTGATGCGCGCATTTGAATCCTTCATATAAGCTAACGGAACTGTATATCGAGCGCATAAAGTACGCCACTGTAAAGCGGAAAATACAAGTAATGAACAAATTTTCAATTATAAGTTAAACATAAATTTTTTAATTTTGAAATACCATGAAATGCATTTTGTCTTCATTCAGCGTCTGACTCTAGGATGGTGTTAAAAAACACAATATAATAGCCGCTAAAGTCGGAAAGCTCTGACTTTAGCGGCTATTATATTGTGTTTTTCAACGGAAAGCTCTGAAACCTGTTGCAAGTCGCTCATTCGTTTTGTTTCGGTCCATAAGTCTGCTTTCTGTTGAGGAATAACCATGCAAATGATAATGATGATAAAAGGGAATCTTCCGGAAGACTGATAA